AATATAAAAATAACACCGGATACAAGTATGGAATGCGTGTCGCCATCAGGGATTGTTGATCTGAATAACCTCCCCTTCAAAAAGCGAGAAAGTGTCGGGTGCAGACCAAACACCACAACTGACGACGGCCTCCAAGTAAATCTGGTTAGAAGTTGTTCATAGTGATAGCTGATTTCTGGTAAATGATAGTTGTAATTAGTGACAATCGATAGAATACAACTGCAACAGGCTAATCATTTCATTGGCAGAAAACATTAACATTTTGTGAAGGCCGTCGTCACTTGTGGTGCATGGTCTGCACCCGACACTTTCGCTTTTTGAAGGGGAGGGTACTGTTTCCTTTTATGCTTTGTCTAGAAAAGAAGGGAAACCTGAAGTGGATTTTGTTAACGATTGTGGATAACTTGGCCCGGCCTTTTTTCCGAACCACAGACGTTCGTCAATTCGACCCGGCATCTTTTAAAGGCAGAATTTACGATGAAAAGTTAGCTCATTGGAAATAAGGGTAGAGGTGGTCAGTGGAGCAGGGATGAAGAAGAAACCATTTGAAACGGCCCGAAACCTGAGAAATGGGACCTCTTTCTTGCCCGTTTATTTCTTGCCCAAATAGCCCCACTCAATCGAGTAATGTCCACTATCACCTGAAAAAAAAACCCTGGGTAAGTTATAAATTGTCTACAACCACCCAAAAAAGTTAACTATGATTTTAAGGATTCCATTTTGAAAAGGGAATGGTATATATTTCGGAACCCGCTAGTAATCTTCATTGAAGTCGTTCCCCACAGCGAACAGCTCATACGTAGCGGTAGCTCGTCAAGTGAAGTGCGCTGTCTGCACCTTCCCAAATACGTGGAACTCGACGAAAGGTGGGTTCGTTGCTGTGCTCTTGTTCACGTCGCCTTCCATTACTTTTTATGTGTTGGCGTGATCTCTTTGCTTCCCTTTTTACTATAGTGGAGTAGATCATTCGAGCTTTTCACGTACTAATATCGGATTTTCAGATTCAGCAAAAATGAACGATATAGAGGAAGAGGATGAAAGTTCATCATCAGAAAATGGAAAGGTCTTGGAATGACTGCGAGTTTGATACTTAGAGGGGTGTAGTTCATCTTCTCTTCACGATTATTGATGCTATTCCGTACATATTTAACATAAACGACATGCGGAGACCCTGCGCGTCTGGCAAGTGCAAGCGGGGACACTGGTTAGAGGCCAAGAAGCCAGAATCAATTGTGCTAAAAGTCAACATATCACAATATTTCATAGTATACCCACTCGTTCCGGTGTACGTTCACTTTAGGACGAAAGTCGACTTCTTGCGCGTTTTGCCGCAGCTGCAAAAGCACTGTTCGCTGAGTTGCTCGCGCTGCGCGAGCGCGAAAAGTCGCTCTGTGTCTAGTAACAACACCCCTCCTCCTACGCTTACTTTCCAGCTTGTCTATACGCGCTTTGAGATTACGGGCGCCGCTGCGTGGTCCCGGCGGATCAACGCGATGCACTCTTAACTTGGGGGGGGGGCGTTGGATAGAGAAACACGCAGTTACTATTTATCTCAAGTGGCGCGGTTTAGAAAACGTGAGGACTAAGCTTTGCAGACGAGACGAACAGAGCATCGCGACCTGACTCGCAGGTCCCCCTCCCCAAAAAAAATAAACTGAACGGACCACTTGAACTCGGTCCTTTAGGTCGCCTCAGTTCGATGCTCCCGTGTGCGCTCTCTCACCTTATCAACGGCTTTTGACTACTGCGATCTCACACATTCAAACTTTTGCCACTCCCTTTTTGGCTCACTTACTTCGGAGCCACCTCCCTCCTACAAGGCTTCGTCCCATGTCTTTCATCTTCCTCCTTGAGATTTGAAACCGAGCCAGGCGCCGTTCTGTTAGGCTGGTGTCAGAGTCCGCGATCCGTCGCAGGTTTCGCTGATTTTCGCGATTTGCGCGATTTGCGCGATTTGCGCGATTCACGCGACGGGTCACGGAAATCACAAGTGCCCGATCAATACTGCAAGGTGTTCTCCAATCCCGCCGCCACTTCTGCTTGATAGTGATGGCTGAATGACGACTGCTCATGATTCCACTTGTTTCATATTCAGTGTTTCAAATGTTCAAATGGGGCACTTGCAATTTTTGCGATCCGCGCGAAGCCTGCGACGGATCACAGGAATTGAAAGTGCCCCGATCAACCCCTCCCCACTTTTCACGTTATAGGGCAGAATCACGAACAGTCGTCTTTCAATCTTCACTGTCAAGCAGAATTCGCAGCAGGATTAACGGCACCTCGCAGTATCATCGGGCACTTCCAACTCCTGCGATCCGTCGCAGGTTTCGCGCAAATCGCAAAAATCGCGAAAATCAGCGAAACCTGCGGCGGATCGCAGGACTCTGACACCAGCCTAATCGTCTCTGCCCTCCGACATTCGTGATCATAGGAGAAAGTTAAGTAGTCCGTAAACTCCCTCTCCCCCCCCCCCAAAAAAAAATAGCACACCTGACCATTACGTGGAGGCGGTCTTGTTAGGTAGGGAAAGCATAAAGAAGAGTGAGGTAGGAATAGCTTGTTGCAGAGTTTTGTAGGCATTCAAATTCACAACGAATACGCAGTAGGAGCTATGTGGCCCCATGAGAGGGGATGGGACAGTGCGTAATATAACGTCAGATTCACAGAAACGTTCAGCTTTAGGACTAAGCCTCAGAAGAAAAGGGAATCCCAGTTGCGTAAGCATCTCACTAACACCGTTGCCCGAAAACGCTCCCTTATTAATACGACACCACAATTTGAAATAAATGTTGCCAAAATCGTTTGCATAGTGTAAGGAGGGATTTGCAGATTGGAATAAGTGTTCACGGTAGTTTTCCTTGAAATTGAAAACATTCATAAGCCCTAGGATTTAGGTTCTTGGGTGAATCTGGATCAGATCGATTAGAAAAATAAATCGAAAACATTGCTCTAATTAAAATTGAAATGGTTTCTTCATACTGGTATACTGTTCAGGTTTGTTGTAATCGAGCCACTTTAGTTGCTGATGTTGCTGAACTCCTCGTTCATATGAGGTGGTTCCATCATAGCGGCAAAATACTATGAAGAAAATTCCTATCCAGTCACCCAACTTCCAATTAAATGAAAATCGAGTCTAACAATTTATTTTTATTGGAATCGATACCGGGGTGGGTTGTTGACGAAGAACTTGAAACATGTTCAGGTTCTTGAAAATGGTAGTTTGTTCAAATGGTCGAGCGATTCCATCGCAGCAAATAAGAAGA